CTGCTGAAGTCATTAACTAGAAGCCCTACCTTCAAAACCAAAACACACCCACCTCCTAACATACTGGAAGAATTCCCAGAGCCTCTTGCCCTAGACTGGCATTATCTCAGATATGAGGGTACTCTTACTTACAAATTGACCTTCTGACCTCTACAGAATTTCCACTAAACTCCAGTTATATAGATCAAAACAAAGAGTCCCACACTGTAATTCAACAGACAAGAGATTTCAACAATAAGTTCCACACATTTGATGGTCTGTAACATTTCAAATGTGACTAACCTGACAATTCTATACTTACTTCACCTCCAGAAAGTATATAGGAAAAACACACATCTCAACACAAGAATTAGATGGTATCTAGCCAAAACAACTATCTTAAAATCACGTGCAGCATGAATCTCATCTTTAAACATACTTACAAGGAGTATTTTAGAGTATCGTCAAGTTCCATAATTGCAGCCTGATTGCCACAACGGTAACAATAGTTTGGAGCACTGAAAATCGTTACTACATTCCGATCATGGCACCAGTTGTACCCCTGGAGAGGGAGAGAGAGATTGCAGAAAAAATAAAATATATTTATGATAATCACACTGTTGTACACCCCACATAATAACCCGACTACTAAAACTGATTTTTTAATGTGCAAAACACCCTCAGTGGCATTTGCAGCACTATTTTTTAAAAAAGATCAAGAATAAGTCTTCATTTATTGACATGGAAAAGGGGAAACAAAATCATTTTTGCCTGTGTATGTTTCTTCTTACTAGTAAGCATAAGCTAAGCACATTCAAAAAAAGATAAGAGTTTTTCGTTGCACTGGTGTTAAAAAAGCAATTCTGAAGTACGCAACCCGTTCTGAATCTTAAGCTGTGGTCATCAAAACCAGAACCCAGACATACATTTAAAAAAAATATCTATTGCCAGAAGTAACTGGAGTCTAAGGACAAAAAGCACAGATCCGAAGTAAAAAGGATAAACGTGTTTAAGGCACACAATTTGTGTGCATCTTCTTAAAAAGAGACTCAATATTTATGTTCAAGAACCCTTTTACCTACACAAAAAGGTAATACCACATCTGCTAATAAAGCCTGTATTGTGATGTCACTGTAAGTTTTTGAAAGAAGGGGGAAAAAATTGCTCCAAACCGAGAAGCTCCTATAGTAGCACATCACTAATTTCAAAACAGAGTTTCTAGAAGATTCTCAGCTGCATCATCAGATGCTGTCACAGAAGCCTAAATGCAGGTCTCGGACATACTAAATATAGTATTAATGCACCAGCTATACAACCAAGGGTTTGACAGATAGCTACGCTGCTTACCTCCATTACCAACTGATGAGCTCTCGAAACCAACGTAAGGCCGTTAGCATGGTTAAAGGTTTCTGAAATATCCTGTCCAAATGTATAACCTGCACCTCGAGGGGAAATTCCCCAGCCACCACGATCATCTGGATCTGACCATAGCAAGTCACACATTGGACCCTGGTAAGAATTAAAGTTATTTCAGAAACTGAATGTGAAAATAATCAAACAAAAACACACATGCACATACCCCTGCACAACCTACTGCAGTGTCTCTTTAAGACCAAAAAAAGAAACAAAATGCCTATCCACTACAACAGCTATTGCAGTTAGTGGTATTTCAGGAGTTAAGAAGTTAATCTGAATGAAGAATCTGCAAAGAAGCAGTTCTCCCCTCTGAGATCTTTAAGCAATACCTCTTTTTAGGTATTTTAGGTACCTGTTTTTAAGATTTTAGGTATATTAATAAAGATGTTTCTTTCTTTAGGGAAAAAGATGCCCCTTACATTTCCTTCAGAAAACTAATATGGGAAGAGAGGCACTTTCATACTGCTAAGTTGCTTTGAATTTCACTTTCGACCTGTGTGTGCATTAAGATATACAATATTTGCTGAATCGAGAGTCCCACCACAGTTTGGATAACGTGCATTTCAGTACCTCATGGGGAACTTCCTGCAAGCGATCAAGTGCCCTGATGTGATCCAGTGTATCTATCGATGGAGAGAGACCACCATGTAGACAGAAAATCTGAAAGAGTTAGATATATATGAAATTTATCCCATTTGTTTACCCTATTTATTTTGACTCACGAACAATTAGAAAAACTGCAAGAGGTTACTTTAAAGTTGAGAACTGATAGACTACAGTATTAATAGCTCCCTTTACAACTAGTAACATTTAAATTCCAACAGACTTCAACATACCTGGCCATCCACCAAGGCAGTTAGAGGAAGGTAATCAAAAAGGTCTGTAAAGTATTTCCAAACATTTGCATTTCCATATTTCCTTAAACATTCATCATAGAAGCCGTATACTTGTGTGATTTGCCTGCTTTCATGGTTCCCTCGAAGAATTGTGATACGTTCACGGTAACGGACCTAAATGTAAAAATTTATTTTAGAGGCACTAAAATAGGCATGTCTTCCCTGCCCTCCAAAATTTGCTGCTTCTCCCCTGTTATGCCAAAAAAAGCAGTGGAGAGGGAAAATAAAAAAAAAAAAAGTGTTTTTAAAGATGAAGATTCAACTACAGTGTTTGAGAAAGACAGAGTAATACATTTAAATCTTAGGTTGCCACATATTTGAGATGAATTGCAAACTTTTTCCACCTGCACGCACACACGTATATGCAGTGCGTGTATATAGTATAAAGCTAAGTTTCAAAAGTGTAACAATTCCCTATCTCTATAATATTTCAACTCTTTTAATCCACATGCCCTACGCTTGCCTTTCAAAGCGTAACATCTCCACCCACTACAATCACCTAGTATTCTTTGCTCAGTAATGCAGGATCCATAAACTTGAAAAAGCTGTTATCTCTAAATAATTTCTTAAACGCAAAGATTGCTACTTAGGCTAGAAAAAGTAAAGAAACATACAACACAAATACAGAGCACTCATTTTAGGAAGGAAAATTTTCATATACACTTGCACTCGAAAGTTAGGTTTTTCAGAAAGACCTTAGGAAAGTGGCATAGCTAGCATTTCAATTTTTGTACCTATAAAATGAGCGAGGTACATTCTGAACACAGAGATTAAGGGTAGTTAGCATAATAGTTATAAATGTCATTTGGAATCGTACAGTTGAGGAAAAAAGTTACCTTAAGAGCTACAAGCAACGTGACTGTTTCAACTGAATAATAGCCTCTGTCAACATAGTCCCCCATAAACAAGTAATTTGTGTCTGGTGATTTGCCTCCAATTCTGAAAAGTTCCATGAGGTCGTGAAACTGTCCATGGACATCTCCACAGACTGTGACTGGACATCGTACTTCTTGTACATTAGATTCTTTCGTCAAAATTTCTTTCGCCTACAAAGCAAAAAACAAGAACAGTTCTAAACGAAGCACAAGCTAGAACGTAACTAACATTCAGTGGTATCAGCAATTGCAGAACAGGTGGATTATCTGCAAAAGCCTTTTGGAACAAGTTTCGAGTTGAAGTAGATGCGAGAAACTGGGTTGTGCCTTTATAAACTAAAAGGATACCTGCTGGAGATACAGATTTTGTCTTCATCCCCTCCTCCTCTTTTTTTTTTTTTTTTGATACTGCCTACATGAAAGTTGCAGACAAAGGCAACTCATATGAAGAAGCACAAGTTAAATATAGCTTCAGAAAGGTAATTTTAAAATAATGCAAGAACCCATTAATCATATCATCACATTGCCAGTTGTTAGTTTGTTCTCTGAACAGACACCAAATGCATACCAAAGTAAATATCTAAATCAAGAGGATATCAGAAATATAAATAGAAACAAACTTAAAAGTTCCTCTCTACAAACATTTCCAGGCCTTTTAAGCACCAACTTCCCTACCCCAAAAGAATCTTTTTTTAAGATCTTATTACCTGAATGACAATAGAATATACAAAAACTACACTGTTTTATAACCCAAGATGTCTACGAGGCTCTCAGAAATAGCACCAAATACCACCTATGCACAAGCCACGATGAATCCAAAATATTCTGAAGTATACATCAGTATTATAGACTGATGGAAGAGCCACAGGAATAAGCCACATTCATTCTAAGGTCAATTTTCTTCATA